ATAGAAGAATGGAATGGAATAGAGTAGAATATGGAATGGAATTGAATAGAATATAGAATGGAATAGAATAGAATATGGAATAGAATAGAATGGAATAGAATAGAATAGAATAGAATAGAATAGAATAGAATAGAATAGAATAGAATAGAATAGAATAGAATAGAATATGGAATTGAATTGAATATAATAGAATAGAATATGGAATTGAATTGAATAGAATAGAATATGGAATGGAATGGAATGGAATATGGAATATGGAATATGGAATGGAATAGAATATGGAATGAAATGGAATAGAATAGTATATGGAATGGAATAGAATTGAATTGAATTGAATGGGGAATTGAATAAGGAATAGGAAAGTGGGATAGAGGAATGGAATGGAATAGAATATGGAATAGAATAGAGTAGAGTAGAATAGGGAATAGGAAAATGGGATAGGAGAATGGAACAGAACAACAGAATAGAATAGAATAGAATAGAATAGAATAGAATAGAATAGAATAGAATAATAGAATAATGATTAATAATAATAATAAAGTCAACGTGGAATCTAGATTCACTTAACAACCATGTTACTCTAACATCTGCAGTCATTCACTTAACAATTGTGGAGAGAACGGTCATAAAATGAGGCAAAACTCACTTAACAATGGACTTGCTTATCAACATAAATTTTGGGCTCCATTTTGATCGCAAGTCAAGGACTACCTGTGTACAAGTCGCAATATTAATGTTGAATATTCAACCAGATTTCCTCCCCGCCCCTTTTCTGCTACAGGTAATCCTCGTGTTACGGCCAAAATTTCTGTTCTTAAATGAAACACTTACGTGAGTTTGCCCCCATTTTACGAGTTTTCTTGCTGCCGCTGTGAAGTGAATCACACTGCATTTGTTAAGTTAGTCACACAGCTATTAAGTGAATCTGGATTCCCCATTGACTATGCTTGTCAGAAGGTCGCAAAAGCTGATCACGTGACCGTGGGACACTGCAAACCATCATAAATATGAACCAGTTGCCAAGCGTCTGAAGTTTGATCACGGGACCATAGGGATGGTACAACGGTCGTAAGTGTGAACAATGGTCATAAGTCACTTTTTTCAGGGCCATTGTAACTTTGAATGGTCACTAAATGAACTGTTGTAAGTCAAGGGCTGTAACAGAATAGCAGATTAACAGAGTTGGAAGGGACTGTGACGACCCAGGGTGGGATACAAAAGCAACCAAGTCACAAAAACAGGTGAAGTCCCTTTAATTGCTTCAACTTGGCTTCAAAGATCCAATTATCATTGACTGGAGAAAAAAGTCCCCCACAAACAGTTGCGAAAAGGAAGAAGAACTGTTCAAACTCAAAATACATATTAATTATAAATAGGAAAAAACTACACAAACTATACTGAAGCAATTAATGAGACAAGGCAGGATAAGGGCTTGAAGATGTCCACAGATATCGAAATACACACACTGGGAAGGACGCCAGAACTCAGATAAGAACTGACAGACTAGACATATATTCACGCTTTGCTTCCAGCACTGGGCCATGCGCAGTTTGTCCTTTTAAACAGTCCTCACAGCTGCAGCCCATGAAGGGGATCGGGGCTGTTTCCTCCCCCATAGACCACGCCATTGACATTTCTCCATTATCCGCTCGCTCCTCCCTGCGTGCCCTAGGATGAAGAGGGGATGGGCCTGCGTCTACCTCTGAATGCCCAGCCGGCCTGTGCCCTTCCCCAGTTTCCTCCATAACCTCCAGAGCCACACCCCCACTCCCTGTCCGCTGTTCCTCCCCTCCCTCGGGGGCGGGTACAAGGGGGGACCGGGGGGCCCCTTGGGGGCCCTCCCCCCCCCCCCCCCCCCCCCCCGCCCAAGCAGGAGACCCCACACCATTTCTGACAGATGGCCATCCAGTCTCTTCTTGAAAGCTTACAGTGATGAAGTTCCCACAACATCTGAAGGCAAAGCTGTTCCATTGGTTGATCGCTCTCATTTGTCAGAAAATTTCTCCTTCTTTCAAGGTTGATCCGTTTCCATCCATTATTCCTACTACCTGTATTTCTTTTCTCGTCTTTCTCTTTGTTCCTTTGGGGTTAACTATTTTCTCTTTTTTTTCCTTTGGAGGACCGAGTTGTGACAGAACCCACCAACTTTCCCAGGGTAGGAAAAAAACCACAGGGGCCTCAACCAAAGCCGCCCGTAAGGCAGATCAAGCAAGAAATGGACAAGATTGCCATTCCATTAGGTAAGTGCTTGGAGGCCATTTTCCAGCTTTGCCTTTTGCTGGTGAACGTAACTAAAATTATACCAACCGTTGTGCTGTCCTGAATCAATGCAGATGTAAATCTGGATTAGGCAGCTATTTGAAATTAGAGGCATTTCTTTTCTCCCAAAAAAAGGCTGTCGTGGTAAGTTAGTCAAAATCATAAAAAGCTCTCAAGGAAAATGCGGACTGCTGTTTTCCCAGACAGAAAACATGGATGGCAAGGAATTAAATGTCTTTTTAAAAAAAAAAAAAAAAAAAAATTTATTGGTTTTTTTAAAACAAACATAAACAAACAAAACATAAAAACATCAAGTTGTCTTCCATAAGTGTACATACAGTGTGCCGGTTGGTTTACAAATTGTTTTGTGCTTCCATTTCGTAGTCTTCAATTACATTACATATAATCTCATATTTTCAATCAAAAACTAAATACCTTAGTATCATTATTAATCGATCATTTGACTATGCTTTTATTCATTCATGTTTTACAAGATAACCATAGTTTACTTAATTTATTGTATAACAGTTCATATTATCATCCCAAATCTATCCTAAAATCATTTTGTAGTTATAAGAAGAAAGAAGTACATCTTTATATATTTATTATTTTCTAGAAATCTACATATTTCATTACTGTACTTTATTATCTAACCATTGATAGAAAAGATCCCAAATTTTATAAAATTGTTTATCCTCTTGTTCTCTAATTTCAAATGTCAATCTACTCATTTCAGCACATTCCAATATTTTCTTAATGATTTCCTCCTGTGATGGTATCTTCTCATTTTTCCAGTTTTTAGCAAATACAATCCTAGCCGCTGTTAATACATTTACAATCAGGTATTTCAAGTCTTTACTATAGAGTTCAGGTAAAATTCCCAATAAAAATATCTCTGGTTTCAAGTCTATGTTTTTTCATCATTTTCTCCAACCACATGTGGATTTTAGTCCAGTATTTTTTGGCATCCGCACAAGTCCACCACATATGGTAAAATGAGCCAGGTGTCTGATGACATTTCCAACATTTTTCGGATTTATTCTTGAACATTCTTGCTATTCTTGTCGGGGGGAAATGCCACCTGTAAAACATCTTATACAAATTTTCTTTATATGCTGTTGACATTGTCATTTTATAATTTTGAGACCACAATTTTTGCCATTTCTCTAAATCAATCCCATATCCAAAATTCTTCCCCCAAGCAATCATAGTTTCTTTAACTTGTTCTTCTAGTTTAATTTCTAATAAATATCTATACAATTTTTTAATCATCTTTTCATCAGTACCTGTCAAAATCTTATCTAATTCAGTCAATTTGTCATACCACCTTCTGTTTTAGAATCTTTATCATATCTTGAATGTATTTGCACATAAGAAAACCAATTCATCTTCATACCTTGTTCCTCTAGTTTTTGCATAGATTTAAGTTCACCCTTTTCATTCAGTATTTCACCATATCTAACTGTTTGTTCCTTTTTGTATATTATAGGATACGAAAATGCTTCAATAGTCAATAACCAGACTGGAATTTTCAAGTAACATTGTCTTTTAATCTTCTCCCAATTTAACCACAGAGACTCCCATATATAATGTCTTCTAAAATACCCCTGTGTTTTAGTTCCTTTGTACCATAAAAAAGCATGCCACCCCAACAACAGATCATGTCCTTCTAATGTCAACAATCTAGCATTTCTTAATGTTATCCATTCCTTAACCCACATCAGATTTGTAGCTTGGTAGTACAATTCCCAATTAGGCAAACCAAGTCCTCCTCTAATTCTAGCATCTTGCAAGAGTTTTAACTTTATTCTCGCTTTCTTACCTTGCCATATATATTTCAACACAATTTTATTTAAATCTTCAAAATAATCTTTTCCAAGCCTAATTGGAATTGTTTGAAACAGATATAAAATTCTGGGTAATATATTCATCTTAATTGTTGAGATTCTCCCTATTAGTGAGAGTTGTAAGTTTTTCCATTTCGCCAAATCTAGCGCTATCTGCTGTTTAAGTTTAATATAATTATTCTCTTTTAATGTACTACATCTTGCTGTCAAATATATCCCCAGATACTTGATCTTATTCGTGACTTGAATTTTCAATAGGTCTGCCAGTTCTTCCTTTTGTCTTAATAGCATATTCTTTGTCTTATCTTTGTTTATTTTCAAACCAGCCACCTTTCCATATGTCTCTCTCTTTTCTATCAATTTTGATGCTTTTTCTAAAGGGTCTTCTAAGATGAAAACCAGATCCTTCTTCTCTTTACTGCCATGGCAAACTTGGCCTTGATCATCTATTAACTGCAATATTTTCCTTGATTCTTTCTCTTTTCTCAATTTATATGCTAACCATCTACCTGGTTTATTTGCATCTTCAAAGTAGTTCTGTTTAGCACCTCTAATTTTCTGTGCTAATTCTTCTTTTTCTATTTGACCCATTTTGTGTTTAATTATATCCATTTTTAACTTGATGTCCTTTTTCTGTGGCATTTTCTGTAGCTCTTTTTCAAGTCTTTTATGCTCATCCTCTAGGGCCTTAGAGGCTAGCCTTTTCATAGTATTCCTTTTCCTTGTATAATCTATTATCAAGCCTCTAGCAAATGCCTTCATTGTGTCCCATACATTCTGAATTGATGTATCTTTTTTGTTTTCTCTAAAGAAAAAGGCCAACTCTTTCTCCATCCACTGTGTAAAGTCTTTTTCCTTTAAAATAGTATTATTTAACGTCCATCTAGATCTTCTTTTTTGTCCTTTCCATTTAATTGTCATTGGATTGTGATCTGCTGAAGTACTTGTTTCAATATTTATTTCTTGAATGTTAGATATTAATTCTGTTGACATCCATATCATATCTATTCTGGACCATGATAAATGTCTATTTGAATAGAAAGTATATTGTTTAGTTTTAGCATTTCTTTCTCTCCATGTATCTTTTAAGTTTATTTCATCTACCATTTAAAAAAAAGATTTAGGGAGAGTCTTTCTGTTTTGCTTTGTTGTTTTCTGTGCTGTATAATCCAATTTGTTTTCTACAATTCCATTAAAATCTCCCATCATAACTATATTAGCATAGTCCAATTCAATTATTTTCATATGTAGTTTTTTGTAGAATTCTTCTTGTTTCTCATTCGGAGCATATATTGCAATCAGGAGTGTTTTCATATTATTGTCCATTATTTCCACCATTAGTATTCTTCCATCATCATCAGTATAAATCAATTTTGCTGGGGTGATCTCTTTGATATATAAAGCCACTCCTCTTTTCTTACATTGAGTCAAGGAAGTAAATATTTTCCCTAATTTTGGCTGTACCAACAATTGTTCATATTGTTTTTTAATATGTACTTCTTGTAGACAAATTATATCAAATTTTAATTTCTCCAATTTATGAAAGGTTTTCCTTCTTTTAACGGCTGGGTTGAGTCCATTTATATTAATTGTAATCATTTTTTTCTCTTCCATGGTTATATTTTATAATTAGGTTTGGCAGCTCTCGTAGATCTTAATTCACGTTGTTCTTTGGCTTCCACCTTTCCACCTACTGCACCTTCTTCTTTTTCAGTCACCATTTGACAGTCCTCTTGGAATTCAATTAATGAGATCTCTTTTTCTGCTTCTTCCTCTTTCCTTCCAAAAAATTCTGTATAAAATAATTCCGCTTTCTCAATTGAGTCAATTCTATGTCTCTGTTCTTGCCATGTGAACATTAAATCTTCTGGGATCAGCCATCTATAGTTCACCTCTTTTTTGAGTAGCATTTTAGTCAGGAATCGGTATTCTCTTCTCATCTCTCTCACTCTTCTGGGTATTTGTTTCAAGACCACAATCTCCTTGTCTTTGTATTTCAATATTTTCTCTTTTGCCACTTGCAATATTTGCGTCTTAATAGCTTTCTTTGTAAATCTTGTGAAGACTCGATCAACCTCATCTATTCCATCCATCATCTTCTCTTGAGTTATTTCCAAGGCTTCAGCCAGTATTTCTATCATTATCTCAGCTAGGTTTTGTCCTTTTTCTTCCTCTATGTTTTGAAATCTTAGATAGAATTCTGATTTATCCATCTCCCATCTCAACATGCCACTTTTATCTTGTTCAACCACCATTAATCTATTATCAATATCTCCAATCTTCTTGTCTCTTTGTTTATCTTCTTCAATTTTTTGGAATCTCTCGTCATACTTCAACATCATTTGTTGGATGTTCTCCACTTTTTCATCGGTTGTCCCTATTCTTTGTTCAATGCTCTCAGTTCTTTGTTCAATGTTCTCTGTTCTTTGTTCAATGTTCTCTGTTCTTTGTTCGATGTTTTCAATTCTCTTTTCAATATTCTCTGACCTTGCTTGGATATT